GGGGGATCAAGTAGTGCATCGAAGTTGGTTTTAAAAGAGAAATTCAAAAACTTTAACGCATGTTTTGAAGACATTTACAGGGTGCAATCACTTTGGAAAGTTCCAGATGATCAATTACGTGAAGAACTTCGAATATCAATATCTGAGAAAGTTCTTCCTGCATATCGTGCGTTTGTGGGGAGACATGGTAGTCAATTAGAGAGTGGAAGACATGCAGGGAAATACGTGAAATATAGTCCTGATGATTTGGAGAATCATTTGTTGGATTTGTTTGAAGGGAGGCCTACTGTTTTGAACAACATAAAAAGAAAAGGTACATAAAGACTGTTGTTAACAGGTATGTATGTTACTTTTTACTGCTGCTTCTGGTTATATCTTTTGAATCCAGGATGATGATGATGATGATTTGGTGTTAGTTTTTGTTGTTGGTATTATAGGGTTTGGGCTGAAGGTAGTTATTATATATAGCCCACACCTTGATATACTGTAATAATTTTGTACATGTATTATTATGTTAGATTGTTCTCCTCTATATGTATAACTTATGTATACATTCTCATGAATACATCAGGTGTTGCACTAAAATCATGTTATGAGTTATTGGATTTGATTTTGTTTTTTAAAAGCAAAGTGAAAGTTTGTTCATATGTTTCATTCATTCATGATATCATGTTTGGTAGATCTTGTAGGGCATTTCCTGTCATATTTGAGACATGAGTTTGATGTTTTTGATGGATTGTTGTTTGATTTTTTAAAATTCCTAATAAGTAATATCTCTGTCTTGAAGCTTAACCTAATTAATTGAAAAAAGTGCTTAATATAAGATGTGCAGCATGTGTATTGATATGTTGCCATATGCATACCAGTACATGTTTTTATAATGTCTTTATGCCTATCAACCTTCCATTTTTGTATGGGTTTTGGGCGACCCTGTTATTTGTCGTGATCGGGATCAAACCAGATTGTAGTAGGAGTGTACACTTTGAATCTCTTAACATGTATTGAGCTTAACTCAAATCTCCTTCGGTCTTTATGTAAATCTCAATCATCTAAAATCACTAATGACGCTGAAATCACCAACCATTCAAGCTAAGCCAAATATTCTAGGTGTTTGACAAGTTAGGTGGATAAGAAGGGGGAGCTATTCGAATGGATCCTTTACGCGGGGATTTGCAAAAGAACTTGAAACCGGATAGTCACATTGAACAGCTTTGGAAAAACCGATAGTTTGGTTTTTGGTTTATAGGAAAAAAAAAATAGGTATGGTTTGCAATTGCAAACGATACCTAATTTTTTTTATGTGTTTCATTTATTAAGTATTTTAAAATTTAAAATAAGAGTATATAGAATGCATTGTTTGATGGAATGGTTGATGAGGTGAATGTGAGAATGTCTTTTTTTTTTATTATTTTTTTTTTATTTTTTTTATTTTTTTTTATTTTTTTTATTTTTTTTTCGGAACAACTGAATTTTATAAACAACCAACTAGCAAAAGACTAGAAGAACAAAACAACTACAAGAGAATTATAGAGCATTGGGTTCTTTAACCACAATGCCTAAGTTATGTTAATTCTATGATTCCTATGATTCCTATTCATAAACCAATCAAATGAACTAATAACAATATTCTCAAAAATACTACTTCTAGAAAAGGCATCGGGCTGGAAAATGACACTATTTCTATATCGCCAAAGCATCCATATTGATGTGAGCATGATGACCTTGAGTATTCTTCGCCTTGGAGCCTCCACATTAATCGAATCCACCAAGCTAAAAGATCTGCAACACTCAAGAAAGGAGGAAATGACATATTTAACCACCTCACAATCTTCATCCAATTTTAAGCAGCCATATCACACGTCAGAAAAGCTTGATTAACATCTTACGCATGTACCCCACAAGTAGGGCATAAAACTAAAAGCAAGATAATGTCTTTATTTTCCAAATTCACCCTAGTGGGGATTCTATCAAGCAAAACACACCAAAGTAAAACACTAACCTTAATCGGGACCAACTTACACCATCTAGTACCAACATCGGTCGAGCTTAAGGTTACATCATCAATGTAGTATCTAGCATTGCTGACTGTGAACACCCCATCAGGGTCCAACTCTCACTCCCATTTGTCACTACTCACTACCAACACCAAACTCTACATGACTAAGAAGATCAATCAAAGCCAAGAGTTTCTCAGCAATGACACCACCTCGAATTTCCCTATTCCAATTCCAACTCTAACTACTCTCCTGCCATCTATCAATAATCAAACACTTTTTCTCCACTCCTAATGCATAAAACCTAGGAAACTAGTCCATAAGCCTCAACTCACCCAACTACACTTCCTCCATGAACCGAGTATTACCATTATTCCCTATTCTTTTGTGTAAAAAAGAATGAAGAATAACACGTTTATCATGTAAATTATCAAAGACCTTCACTATAGTCGACCACGCCCCTCCTCTGTTCGGTTTAGGAACACGACTACCCACACTCCCATATATGTCATGTATACTTTTTATTACCTTCACCCACATCAGACTCCCATAAGTAAGTAAGCACCACTTCCATTTTGCAACAAGGCCAAATTAAACGCCTTCAAACTACCAATTACCAACCCACATTTTTCTTTAGAACTCATAGTTTGATCCACTTTATCCAACACATTTTCTACTTTGTATCATCTCCACCCCAAAAGAAGTGAATCATTAACGACTATAACGTTTTACAAACCATCTCAGGGACCTTGAATAAAGACAAAATAAATTCCAAGACTGCCAAGCATAGACCTAATTAATGTCAACCGACCTCCGATAAATAACAACTTAACTTTCCAATTAGCAAGCCTTTTCTTGAATATCTTGATCATCATTTTCCAATTATCCACACGACTTATACTCGTACCCACCAATAACCTAAGATATGAGAATGACATATTAGCAGCAGAACATCCTGTAACCACCGCAAGATCTTCAACCTCATGGCTAGCTCTCCCAACGCCAAACAAGTTGGATTTAAGCATGCCAATTTTCAACCCCGAAAATAAGAAAAAACAATTCAAAATTGTTAACAAATTAGCAATATTCATTTCATCCCATTCGCCCAATGAATAAAGTGTCATCCGCATAAAAAAAAGATGAAACAAAGTCAAACCATCTTCACCTATAACAACATCACAAAAAAGACCTTGGAGCACTGCATCCTTCATAATAATATGTAACGTTCCATGGCAATAATAAACAAAAAGGACGACAACGGATCTCCCTGTCTTAGACCTATTTGTAAAGAAAACTCCATGGTCGGGCTCCCATTCACCGACACCAAAGCACGAGAAGAAACCAAACACGCCTTTATCCACCCTATCCATTTTGGTCAAAATCTATGAAATCCATAATCTTAAACAAATATTCCCAACAAATAGAATCATACGCCTTATCAAAATCAACTTTGAAGATCATCACCTTCTTCTTTTTTCTTTTAATCCAATCAATCACTTTGTTCACTATCAGGGGGTCATCCAAAATTTTCCCGCCTTTAACAAAAGCATACTGTTCCATGCTAATGATACTATCAATAACTATAGCATGCCAATTAGCTAAAACTTTAGCAATAATTTTATACTGCACACTGGTATAACTAATAGATCTATAATCTTTAATGACAATCGGATTATCAATCTTCATATTAACGTGAAAAAGACAAGTTACAGCTATACATAATATAGCTATACAGAAATCAAAGAATTCTTAAACAAAGCTACAAATATCATCTTTAACTTTAACTTTAAGCATGTCCCATAAATTTTTTCACCCGTGACCGGAATCAAAGAATTCCTAAACGAAGCTACAAAAATCATCTTTAAGCATGTCCCAGAATCTTATAACGTCATTGAACCGTCTAATGCAATATATATATATATATATATATATATATATATATATATATATATATATATATATATATATATATATATATATATATATATGTTTTATTGAATCGTTGTAGAGTAAGAATTAAATAGTAAATTGTATGCAACTCTTGAATGTTGATATGGCCATCCGTTAAAATTTATAGAGTTCATGCATTGTGAATGATTTTCAATGAAATTAGTGTGTTCACAATGTATAGTTTAATGAAATTGTTGAATCGGGTGTATTGTATAGCTGACATTCAATGGATTAAACTCAATAATAGTTGGATGTGACGCTGGTTTGTTGGTTTAATGGATATGAACTTTAGTGACTATTAAAATGTTCGATAGGAATAATGGAATGTTTTTTTATTATAAAATCATTAATAAACAAATGATTTTTATAAAATATGTTTCATTAAACTTTTGTATAGTTCAATGTAATATAGGGAAAAAAATAAGCTTTATAATTGTATAGAATTTAATACATTATGAATGCCTTAAAATGATAAACATGTGTTTACCGGGTCGTGTATTATTTTTAATAAAGTACATTAATTGTTAAATTTTATAAACATGGTCAATGAAAAGTGAAAATGTAAGTGCCTCTATTGGGGGTCTCTATTGGGGTGTAAGGGAGTCAAGTAAAGTCATCAAGAATGAGTTTGGCTCGTTTATGATTTTATAGTATCGAAGCAATTAAGGGAGTCAAGTAAAGGCACCGATCAGACTGTCCAATCTTCTAACCAACATTGAAGAGATAAGTCACTCCATTATGGATTCTTTTTCATAGAAATTAACTTTTTTTTTAGTGATGGCAAATTAACTCGTATTTTAGGAGGGAAATTACTATCTCTCAACCTAACGGTTGTAGAATTAGTTAGATATCATGGGCTAAAAGGCCTGTTGGTGTTCCAAATTAAATTCAATAATCACTTTTCCACTTCCCATATATTAACCTTATACCCAACAATAATAATTCCCACATACAACCATGAATACAATCGAATCGATGCACCAAGTATTCTTCATTCTTTCAAATACACAAGATACCAAAAACAAACCAAAAGACTTACAAATTAACAATAGACTCTTCCCGACAAAAAGGTTTTATTATCTGATCATTTTTTTTTCTCTCCTAAACCCTCGAGTTTTGAGGTATGGGCAAAATACCATCAAAGAAATCCCCAAAATACCCTCTAGGCTCATGTACTAACCTGGATATAATATCTCTCAGCGTTATCAACCCTTCAAGCTTCCCTTCATTATCCACCACATAAATCCTATGAATCTTTAACGAATCAAGCTTCAAAATCACATCTTTAAGCGTATCATCTTTTCTGCAACTAACCATCTCACTCATCAATGGCGACCCCTTCTGATTCTTCTCCAAGTAGCTTTTCACCGCTGTTATAAAATTCTTAGCAGTAATCGATCTGCAGTAAAAATCTCAACCCTTTTAAATTCCTGTTAAATCATTGACAAAAATTAAAGTTTAAAAAAAAAAAACAAACCTGTAATCTTTATAAATCTCAGGGGCAATTAGGAGGAATTGAATATCTCTAATACTGATATTACCAACCGCCTTGTTGCCGCCGCCGCTAGCCACCACCGGAACACCACCAACTCCCTTCTCCTGCATGATTTTAAACGCCTGAAGAACGGGTTCATCTTCTTCTACCTTAATAATCCGATTAGATTTCATAAGAGGAAGACCAATCTCATGTAATTTCTTGGATCCCCAGCTTTTGAACCACTGAAGATCAACACATTCTTCCAACATATGAAACACTGCAGATTGAGTGATGATATTTTCAATCTTTCTATCACCTAAATCAACAACCGGGACACTTTTCATTCTGTACTTTGATAGAAGTAAAAGCATGGTGAGAAAGGAGTTTGATGGTTGTAATGCCAGAAATGGAGCCCAACGAAATGTCCCTGAGATGTCTTTAACCTTTGTGTTTTTATAGAAATCGGAAGAAGTTAAGAGTTCAAAGAAGTTCCCGGCGGTTTTAGGAGAACCCGGCTGTGAGCTTCTGTATCTCGGGGAAGACATGCCGCTGGCGGCGGCGGCAACTGCAGGTCCGGTGGGTTCCTGTAATGCTCTAGCGAATACTTCGGCTGCATCCAATCCCTCTTTCTTTTCTGACTGATGTTGAGATAAGAGTGTGAGATCATATCATAATATCATATGAACTCTGTTATGATTTACGAAATTTGTGATTTGGGGGAAGAAATTGAAGTATGTGAACCTGATGTAGAATCCAAACGACGATGCCTGCGAATTCGACTATACCAAGATATCGATCGATCCAACTGGAATCTTCTGGTGCATCGACGTCTACGACTGGTGCGCTGAGGAGTTTGTTTTGGGAGAGTAATCGAACAGCTTCACCCAGACTGGCATCCGATCTGATCTCGATTACTGAACACTAGAATATGGATAATGAAAATCGTATACAAATTGGGAAAAAGAATTGTTGTTTTGAGTTGCTTAAATGAAAGCATCGATCTGATCATTACGTTTTTCCATCACATACAAATTCAACGAATGGTACGAATCAGACGCAGTTTAAGATCAAATCATTCGTAAATTCTCACATGCAGTGTGTATTTGGTAGAATCAAATCATACGTAATATGCTACACGAATGTAATCTACTAACATCATCCATTGTAAATTCTGTAAAATCAACAACTAAATCCTTACATCTACTCAGATCATCCATAAACTCCTTAAAATCAACAAAAATCAGAAGCATAAAATCACACATTTATGATTGTAAACATGTTCCTGGTTATTGAACCACGATAGATTTTTGTGAATGAGTTCGATCTAGAGCATAAGATCAAAAAGACATATAAACAAATACCTTCCGAAGACGAAGTTTGTGGAAACTGGGAAACGGGAATACTTTCGAAACATGCATTAAGCTTCTCCGTGGGAGATAGCTGTGGCTCTTGTACGTCCCACAGGTCCTCCACTTCCAGCCCTAGCTTCGCCTCTGGGCTCTTCGGACTTCCTTCCTCCACCACCATTTTCGACATTACTTTCTCTCTCAAAATTTCGTTTCTGCAAATGGTTTATTTTGGCGCACACATGAATGATGAATCTAATTTCAAAACAGCAATTCTTATTAATTAGTGTTAAATCTGCACCGTTGATGTGTTTGAGATGAAATTTTGTGGAGTTTGCTTGGTGACACGTGGATGGGAAGACGTGAGTCAAAGGTGTTTCACGAGCTATTCGCTAGACGGACCATGATCCGAGATTTATTTAAGGAAACATCCTACTTTTAGGAGAATGTTCATTCATCAAAGGAAACGAGGGTTCGTTACTTAGTTACTACTTTTTTTTTTATATATACAAATACAATGATATTTATTTTATAAAAAATATATAATGGTGTTTCAAAATATGATCAGGTTATGTTTTAAGTGATTTCAGTGTTATTAAACACTTTAGATAAATGAAATTGAAATTTATGTGTATAATTTTATTCACTACTAGTTGTGTGACCCATGTATTACATGAGTTAATTTAAAAAAAAAAAGTTAAATATGAAGGTCTAAATAATTGAGAACTTTGAATTTATAAAAAAAATAAAAAAAAAATAATGAATTATTAAAATTGAAATGTTTTTTATCTTTTAAATTTAAACAAATAATTTAAATAAATAAACAAAAGAAACTAATAAACTTTAATTTAAAATTTATGAAATTAGAAGGTAAGCTAACTAATGAAATTGATATTCATTTATTACTATATTTATTGTAATTATTACATTAAAATATTATCTAAAATTTAATAAAATAGGAAAACCCATAAATGACATATGGAAAAAAATTAATTCAAAATTACCATAAATTGACATTTGTCAAATTGAAGGGGAGCATGTCATGTGGCAAAAAAGTTCTTTATTTATTAGGGAGGAGATGCTTAAGTAGGAGTCAAGATGTGTTGATGTTAACCTAAATGAAGTATTTGCATAGAACAATAACATCAAAGCACCTTACACAAAAGTTGTGTGTTTTATATATTTTTGAACAAGCAAATTATATGAACTGGGAAACTAGGAAGCCATAAGGCTTACATAAAAACAGAAGCTGCAAAAAAGAAAACTGATCCACTAACATCTCACATAAGAATAAAAAGAAAACAACCCATTACTTGAAAGACAAAGTTAAATGAGGAAATTGGAAAATAAAGACAAGGGAATAAAAGTAAAAAAAATGTGCATAATGAACCAAGCACGTGACAAGTGTTGTACTTTAACATTCTCTCTCAACACCTACTTCAATCATTCCAATTTTCTCATAGAACTCAACCATCTTCTTGCTTGACAATCATTCCGTGAGAAAATCTATAACTTGGTTTGAGGTTTTCAATGGGTTTTCTAGGTTACAAAACAAATAAATTAAGCAGTGAAATCATAAAACTATTTTATAAGAACATGCAACCTAGAAATCTATGACTTTTCTCAAAATAATAACATACTATGAAAACTTTAAACTGACCTAGGTATAATCGAAAATCACATGGATTGGAATACATACCTTGTGTTATAATCGTATATAACACTCCTTGATCCTCAAGTCTTCTTTGGAAAGCTAGCACCAATAGTGTAGATGCCTCTAATGGCTCATACCCAAAACCCTAAAATGCTAGGAACGAAAATGAAAGAGGATAGATGAGGAGAATTTTTGGATTCTTCTTCTTAAGAGGTTAGGCCGAAAATGCCAAGAGTTAGGGTCTTATTTATAGTTGGTGGATCACAAGGATAAACGCTAATTTGAATAATAAGATATTCCAATTTTATCTAATTCAAAGTGGTTATCCTTATCAGCTATGGAAGGCTTTCAGAACCCTTTTGGAACCTCATAGAAACCGTCTAAGCCAGAAAAGTTCTAGAATTGTCTTCCTTGATATTGAACAATTGCAATTCAACCCTTGCACCTTTAATTAATTATAATTAATCCAAAATTAATTTCTAATTAATTCTGATTGATTCTAAATTAATTCTAAACTATTTCTAAATAAATTATTAACCAAATAATAAATTAACAAATTATTTTCTCACTCACCTAAAATTGTTTCTACTTATTTCTAGTTCTTGAGGGCAACCCAAAAATTAATTTGCTTTTATTCCATAATGTTATACCAATTTAGTTATGACCTTAGACGCCTAATCCAACAGTCTCCCACTTAGATAAGTCATCAACTACAATTGCAAGTATGACCCGTGAATAAACAACAAAGTGTGCTTTCCAAAGCCACTGTCGAACTCTGAATCATATTAGGCATTGACCCTAAGATAAGTGATCAACTAGTCCTTCGTTCTTCAAGATATCATATGGACACGAGAAATGGATACAAATTAATCTCATAGTCCAAGATTTTGTTTCCCAATTTCCGATTTATGGTGGCCTTATTATACTACGAATTGAACATATCAATTTAGTCCCAACTGAGCTCAATATTATAATGTCAACATCAAATTACCATGGGGCCAAAAGATATCACTTTTCCTTTAATAGGCAAAAGGAATAAATAAACTTTGACCATATAATCACACCCTTTACTCATCATGCCATACATGGAACTATATTTATAACACCCAGTTACAAATGCGTTAATGTAATACTAATGCACAACAGAGTCGTAAACTATAACTTATATATCTCTGTTTGAAGAATAGAATATATTATAGTCTTAGGATTACTCGTGATTAAATCCATGAAGTAATCTCTAAGAGCAGGTTTAACCAATATTTAAAATCCATATTTAAGCACTCATGAGTATAGAAGCAACCCCCATGCCATGTCCAATCACTTTGAACAATCTACTAATACTCCATGACAGTCTTAAATCATTACTTACTCCCAAAAGTATGACCGACTATAGCATTTTGAATAACTTAATACTCTGAAAGTAAACATGCAAAACGAAACACAAGAATTGTTAAATGTGACTCGAGCATTTTGAGCATTCTCATGGAGCATTTAGATCATGTTCATGGAGCATTTAATTCGGAGCACTACTCAATGGAGCACTTGGGGTTCATGGAGCATGTGAAAAAGGAACGGATCATCTAAGAAGGGAATGGATCACTAAAGGAACATATCAAGTGCCAAAGGAACGGATCATATGAAAGGGGGTTTAGAGCACCTGGAAGAGGTTTGGAATACTTGGGAGTGATATGGAGCAACAAGGGAAATTGTTGCGCCATCTGATAAAGGGTTGGGCCAAGAAGGATGCTTTTACACCAAGGGCATTTCTTCTTGCACCAAGCTACTCCCTCTTGCGCGATGGGATATCCTTCTTGCGCCATGGAGTATGTTGTTGTGCCAAGCATGACCTTGTTGCACCATGCTGAAGGGAATTGAGCATTCTAACACTCCTATGGTGTACATGCAACCCTATAAACCTTGGATCTATGTTTTCTCTATTATACATGCAAATATTCAATATTCCAAGGTTTCATCCTAACTAGCATAATAAGAAGTAACTATACTACAAGAATCTAGTAGAATGACATACCTTTTGATGGAGCATGAAGTCTTGAACCTTTAAGAGCCTAGTGCCTCAAGTGTTGCACCTCAAATGGTTCACACAACACCAAGAACCCTTGGAATAACTAGAGAATAAGGATACTTAGGTTTATACTCATGAAATCGGTTTGCCCTCTTTGTGTACACACACTAGTCCCATTTCATGAACCATAGACCTCTTTATATAGTGTGGAGGATTAGGGTTACATTCATGTAAACCCTAATACCCATGACCTTTCATTTCCATAGGATCCATGGGTTAAACACTCCATGGACTATCCATGAAAGCTTAGCCCAACCTAAATGAACTTGGCCCACCATATATATAAGAGTCCATATTTAATTAGTTCCTTTTTTATCACTAAATTAATTCTAAATTAATTCTTAATCAATACTAATTAAATAACATGATTTCATATTAATATATTAGAACTTATAATATATTAATATAAATCACTAGTATCCTTTTTCTCATTTTGTCTATCTAATTGTTCCGATGCCATGCAACCCAAATGGACCATGCGAAATCGGGTCAAGTACATACCAATTATAGTTATGGGCTTAGACACTAATCCAACAGTCTCCCACTTGGATAAGTCGAAAACTATTATTGCGTATGACTCCAAAACTCGACTAGCAATCGTAGCTCTTAAAGCCGATGTCGAACTCTGACCTTAGTCAATGACTTGTCCATTAGATAAGGGATCATATATTCCTCCATTCTAGATATCATATGGACTGAGACATGGATTGTAATCATTCTCTCTGTCCATTTGTTGTTTCCCGATTTCCGATTTATGACGACCGACTAATTGAACAAATCAAATCAGTCCAGGCTTGGCCAAGCACTTAGAGGTGTCATCACTAAATCATCGAGGGGCCCACAGATATCGCTTTTATCCCATCAAGGGTAAAAGGAATGGATAAACTTCGACTCATATGCTTGTTCTACTACTTGTTGAATCATACACAAAGGTACATTTTATAACATCGAGTTACCAATGCGTTTTCGTACAATCAATGTATAACCAACTCATAGTCAACAACTCATATCTCCAGGTTTGAAGAATATAAGATATTATCGTCTCATGATCACTCGTGATAAAATCCATGAAGTGATTCAAATGAGCGTGGGTTTAATCCAATACTCAGAACTTATGAGCACTCATGAATGTTGTAGCAACTCTTGCTATGTCCAATACCTTAGACATCTACAAACCAACTTCATGACAGTCTTGCCCTAATACCTACTTCCAACGTATTATCGACTGTGGATGGTTTGAATAACTTAGTCATTCAGGAAGAATGACCTAGTTATTCTGGAAGTCAAAACATCCAAAGTAACACAAGAATAATCGAATCCAATATGGTCTCAGAACTTATGAATATAAATAGAACACCTTTTATTTTATCACCATATTGATTACACATTATTCATTGTATAATGTTTCAAATTTGTAAACTTAAGACTTGAATTAAAACAATAGTTTTCCCATGCTCCAAGCATGTACACTATGTTTTCTGAACACTAGTCATGCCATACACCAAGTATGC